TGGCTTTTGCCTTGGAACTCTCCCATGGATGCCGTTTTTGCCCAGTCTCTTTCTTATTGTTGAATCATGAACACTGACCTTAATTGAGGCAAGTGATGCCTGCAGTTCTTTAGATGTTGTTCTGGGTTCTTTTATGACCTCTTGGATGAGTTGTCGTTGTGCTCTTGGAGTAATTTTGGTTGGCCGGCCGCTCCTGGGAGGGTTCACCATTGTTCCAAGTTTTCTCCATTTGTGGATAATGGCTCTGACCGTGGTTCGCTGGAGTCCCAAAGCCTTAGAAATGGCTTTATAATCCTTTCCAGACTGATACATGTCAACTGTTTTGATTCTCATCTGTTCTTGAATTTCTTTAGATCGCGGCATAATGTGTTGCTCTTTAAGCATGCTTCACACTTTGTCAGACAGGTTCTATTTAAGTGATTTCTTGATTCAACAGGTCTGGCAGTAATCAGGCCTGGGTGTGGCTAGTGAAATTTAACTCAGCTTTCTAAAATAATGTGGTTAATTGCAGTTCTTTCATGATTTAACAGGAGGGGGCAATTAATTTTTCACGTAGGGCCACGTAGGTTTGGACAGCTTTTTTCCCTTAATAAATGAAATCATCATTTAAAAACTGCATTTTGTATTTACTTGCATTATCTTTGTGTAATATTAAAATTTGTTTGATGATCTGAATCTTTTAAGCGTGACAAATATGCAAAAAATTTAAAAAACAGGAAGGGGGCAAAAACCTTTTCACAGCACTGTATATATATAATGTTGGTAACCAAACAATTTTGGTAAAAAAAAAATAGATTAATAATAATAATAATAATAATAAGTCACACATGTTTGGAACGACATGGGGGAGAGTAAATGATGACAGAACTTTCATTTTTGGGTGAACTATTATATAAATGTTAAATAATTTTATTCTTTCCTTTATTATAAATTAATTATACAATTAATAATAATAATATTAATTATAATAATAATGTCTATGATTAAAGCAAACTGAAAAACATATTCCCATACAGTCATTGTGTGAAATACATTTTATCTAGCAGAACTTATCATTTAAGCAAACACTCTCGGTCATTACAACTACAGGTTCACTAATCGGTGATTAGGTTGTGATTAATCAGAAAGGTTAAGGGCAATGACAGATGCTGTGGTTTTGGATGGCACACATCACATGCTCTCTTTTCCAGAGTATAATAATGTCATTGAGCTGGAGGTCTAATCAGTGTGACAACTGGACTATGTTACCAAAGCAACAGAGGAGCTTAAAGGGATAGTTCACCTTCAGTTGCTGGTCCCCATTAACCAGCAACTGAAGGAGAACTATCCCTTTAACTCTTCTCACCTCACTTCCTTATCTACTGTAACTTCTAATTATTTATGGCTTGTGCAGATTTGGGGATAGACCATCTTAACCTTCCCATAGTTTTATAGTTCAATAAAGAATCTGGGATTTTGCTTTCGACACTAAGAAGTGAAGACATGCAGTTGTTAGCTATCTCACCAGATCTGGCCCGTAAAGTGACTTAAGTTGGTGTAAATACATAGAATGATTTAGTCATATTTGTCTTGAATAAAACCAATTCAGTCATATCAGTCTCGAATAAAACTATTTAATTTAGATGTTACCATTTTGTAATGTGAGTAAACGTTAAAACACAAAGCTATCCAACAGGATAAATGTTTATTTGGACTAAACACTATCATTTTAGATCACTGGTATATCAAATCATATTAGACACCTCACAACATAAATAGAGTTATCATTCTCTTTTTTGGAGGCTTACAAGCTACCATTTGAGTACTAAAATAGAATTTCATCACATATGATTACCAATCTACAACAGCCTAAACCACTGAATGATATGACAGTGAGTTACAGTTATCATTTCTAATAACTGGGCTCCATAGTGTACAATAGCCCAATATCTAAAACTAACCGTTTCCAAAGAATGATGAAGTGCACAGCTCTAAAGAGAGCCAGTTTTGTTCTGATCTGGCATGTATAGGTTTTAGGAGGACATGTGCTCATGTGTCTAAACCAATAAATAACCACAGTAATCTGACAGACAGGTTACACAATGCATACAACCACAGTAATGATACAGCAATAATTCATTCACACATATCATTATATTAAACCACTAATCTATGGGTGTTGCATTGCTTATTTCTCATATAAAACATTAGAATGTCCATAATAAAATAAACCAATAAATAGTTACATTTATTGTTATTATTCAAAATAATCAAATTAAGCAATTTTTGCACCAAATAATATAGTTCTGTAGAAAGAATGATGTCTTTAAATGCTATGGCAAGCAATATGTGCTTACAGTATATTGGCTATTATACGGTTTCAACATGGCTCATCCAATCAGAATTTACAGTCAAAACTATAATAAATATTTTAACATCAAATATTTACAAATACATACATGGTATTTGTGTTTATATTTATTTAAATTCATATAATTTATTGCATAGACCTGGAATAATTTTTTTTCATGCACTGAAACAAAAAAACTGCTTTTTTATGTATTAACATTTTTAAAACTCCTGGCTGCTTCCTCTAAAGAGTCCATCTGTCAAGTTAAGGATTTAATCGGATCTATAGGCCACTGTTATCCTGATTTACACAGCCTTTACTTTTACCCCAACTCACAGTATATCTCAGCACACACACTGATATATATTTAATATCAGTGATCATATCTGCATGATAGGAACATTTAGAAATCAGTAACCAGTTGAATGCACATGTACAGTACACGAACACCATTTGCAATGGTCACCTTGATTTTAAGATATATTTATAGAAGTTGAATTGGATAAATAATTCTCACCATTTCTGATTAACTGAATAAAATCACCTTATGTCTTTCTTTGCATTGCATAAAACTGGGCTTGTATATCTTATACACTTACATGAAAAACTCTTTATCAAGAAATACTAAAAATAGAAACACAAGAAAACACACCAAATGCCAGAATACGCTACTGAATAAATGAATTTACCTTCTCATCTGGTAGTTTACTGTGGATGGTGAATCCTCCAGATGAATCCCACAGACTTATGGACACCAAGCACTTGCTTGTTTCACTGTCATGGATCAAGAATTCTGCTACTGCTGCCACAGGTTATAGGGGAGGTCTGATCTTTCCTCCCTCCCGCCTCACTCTCTCCTTTCTTGACCCATCCCTTATCCATTTGTTCTGTCCTTGACAAGTTGAGTACAGTACACAACCTGCAATAGTGTAAAGAATACACAATGTGTCAATGCGGTTTTTTTTTATTTTTTTAAATCATGATCAAGATTTTATGTTAAAATTTATATGAATGCATACAGGATCCTGTACCAGGGTCACACAAGTTTTAAAAATTTTACTGACCTTTTTGTCTTCACTAGTTAAATTTTTTAATGACTGACAATACAATAATAAAGTGTTTAAAATACAACTGTAGCATGTGTTTCACTCAATATGAGATGATAAAAACGGCATGCATTAAAATTTTATAACAATTAGCAGAATCTTTGTAAAGTAATTATTTTTAAGTAATTAAGTTTCAACTTTCCAAAATGATTTACTACTCATGATTAACTACTCATATTCCACTTGTAAAATCATAGTATTATTCCTGTGACACTTTAGACTTTGATTGAACACAAACATTATTATTAATTTATTATTTCAGAATGTATAGACATACTAACTTTTATAATTCAAAGTATCACATTTGCATGAGATGGTTGAAAGCACATATACATATATATATATATATACAGTATATACATACATACATAATATTTTCCCATACCCATATATTTTATAATCTCATCACATCAGGTTTGAAGGGGGGATCATCCCACTCTTGCAGGACCTAAATCTGCCATCTAGCCCCATAGATTGAAGCCATAGATGAATGCATCTTTGTGAAGAGAAGATTAGGCCGTAAGGCCACAGCTTTCGCTGGGCTTTAAATAGCATATGAGCGCAGCATGCTGGATGCAGCTGAACCTGACTCTGCCCTGCATAGAGGACATTTCAGCTTAACTATTGCCTAATTCCACCTCCAATCAACCACACAATCTTCCAGGAAATGGGCCAGGAGTCTGGTACTTGCACTTCTGTGGAAAATCATGTAGAGTGTGCAAACACATCTGACCTGAGGCTAACTGTGTTCTGCAGGGTGAAAGATCCCTCTCCTGCGGTTCTTGATGCTCTGTTTGGAGAACCATACCGCACAATAAAGACATTACATTTAGTCACTGTACTCACAAATTAGGCATTGTATGATTGGGGTGGTACTGTATATAAACATTAAACTTTAATATATTATTCTTATTTAACTACAAATATTTGCTTAATACTTAAAACCATCATTATTATAACACCATTTGATGTCACAAGTGTCATTTTAGTAACCATGGCCAATCTTCATATACAGTGTTATCTATACAAAGACACACATGAAATAAGATTACTCTTAATGAACAAACAAGGTATTAGTACATTAAAAATAAGTGCTAAAACTGTGTTCTTGGCTTACCCCGATTCACTACGGAAAACCGACTTATATTTGAGCTGTCGGGTCGGATTTGATGTGAAATTTCGTGTTGACGTCACTCGTCCTCGCGTGCAGTGTTGCCAATTTAGCAACTTTGTTGCTAGATTTAGCAACTTTTCAGATTACCCTAGCAACTTTTTCTTCCAAAAGCACCTAGCAACAAATTTAGCTATTTTTTTTATTTATTTGGCAACTTTTAGCAACTTTTGATAAGTGACTCAAATGATAAAAAGGCACACATTTTCCATCTAAATTAGACAAAAAGAGGAAACCAAAGATGCCTAGCAGTGCACACATCACGTGAATTAAGTTAACTGCTATTTGCAATTGTTCAGTAATAATTAGGTGTGTTCGACTTGAAGCTGCTCTGCGCAGACCGATCGGTGTATGACACCAAAGTACCGTGAGAGCTAATAGAGAGCAGACGGACCTGCATGATTTCTAATCGCTCTCGTGGTGCTTTGATGTCAAACACCGATCAATCTGCACAGCGCCGCTTCAAGTCGAACACACCTATTATGATACACCTTGTTAGTAGCTTGTACCTGTGATTGTTGATCAGTTAGTTGATCTAGAAAAATGGAAAAGGTAGTAATTTTCCAGGACTTTATTAAAATGTAGGTAAAAAAACCTGTGAAAAATCAATATGGAAAATTTCTTCATATTAACATAGTAGACTATTTTTACAGGCTTTTCTTAGAGTGTAGCATACTAACAAACTACTAATACACTGCTTAAAACTAATTGTTCAGAATGTGCTAATAAATTTTTTTTTACTAGCTAATAAAAAAAACTTAAATTGTAATTGTTCAAAAATGTGTAAGTGTTCAGTAATTTAATATTGTATTTAAAAATACAGTTATTTATATTTGAATATTATATTATGCATTTATATTATTTTACGAACAAATCGAAATGAACATATGTAAATTATATTTTTTGCTGAGATTTGATGCAGTGACACAATTTTGCTCGTGATGACATCATCGCACAATGGCGTCACAACGTCATTTAGCAACTTTTAGCAGCAAATCGACCTTCCTTTAGCAACTTCCCATTAAAATTAGTTGGCAACACTGCTCGCGTGTTTGCGTCATGTCTGTAAATAAAGAAAAAGGCCCGGTTACTTTATCAGCAAAAACGCTGCTTACTCACGACCTTATTTTCTTATACTCTATGTAAGACTTTCTTATTACTGTTATTGGGTCTTGCTGAATGAAAGATCTGCTCTGATATCATAAGTATAACGCAAACCATCAGATTCATTCGCGCAGAAGAGCAGTGCAGAAGCTGACGAAAAAAGTCCCCACCTTAACCACAGATTGTTTAACTTAAAAAATATATCTTTAACTTTGTATTAAACTTTGTATTTAGTATATATACATATAATTGTCTAGAAATGCAGAGTGCCAGCCATTCTATAATCCATGATGTGGTAAAAGCTTGGCCTATGAATTTTTAATACGGTAAATCAAGGACGTGCTGTATTATGAATGATTTTATGTATAGCCTATATATATACACACACACATTTATATATATATATAGCCTATATACAGTATATATATATATATTAGGTAAAATATACAAAAATGTGATGGTCACGCAGGAACTTTTAAGACCATATATGGGAAAATATCAATTTAAAATAACTGTAAACATTTTTTATATAATTTTTCGTTTAAAATTACTCACACCTATATGTGCTTTACACATGGCTTACATATGACTCACTAAAACTCACTAAACCAAACCGGTACTGGGCCCTTACCTTACAAAATTATCTTATGTGGTGTCTATTCATTTCAAACGTACACTTTTATGCTGTTGAATTATGGGCATTAATCTTATCTAATGTGTATAGAATTTGTCAGTGTGAGCAACGCCATATTGCTGCCTGGAAAGTGACATTATGAGAGTTCAAAACACAGTGACCCCTATTGCTGTGCCTTTGCTCGATGGGACAGAAAGACAGAGCGTGTCAGTGCCACTGAGCAGTTACTGTGATACAGAGGCCAGGAGATGAGTTCTAATCCTATTTTAATCTTGATGGGATTAAGAAAACACAGCTGATCCTAATCTGCTCAGATTACCAATGCTGCTTCCAAAAGGAAGAAGGAGGGTTGTATAAGCAAGTGCATTTAAGGTGATTTAGGCTTCACGGTTTCATTCCCAGCAAGGTCTTGTGATACAGAGGCCAGGAGATGAGTTCTAATCCTATTTTAATCGTGGTGGGATTAAGAAAACACAGTTGATCCTAATCTGCTCAGATTACCAATGCTGCTTCCAAAAGGAAGAAGGAGGGTTGTATAAGCAAGTGCATTTAAGGTGATTTAGGCTTCACGGTTTCATTCCCAGCAAGGTCTCGAGGTGGACACACCCCTGAAATTCAGTTAAGTCTGTATTAAACGTTACTATGTTACAATTTATGTTTTACATTTATACTTTAATGTTTATTGGTGGATTTCAAGGAATTCATACTTTTTAACAGGACATCAGTGAAATACAGTGTTGAAATATGTACCTCAAGATAAAGATCTATGCTTTTATGCACTTCCATGCAACTAATGCAGTATATTTTACCAGAAGCCATGAAGACTCAAGCAAAGGTTAAACTGTAAGCGTGTCACGTGTGTTATAGAATCACTAATGAGTAGCTCATATAACCAATCGTTGTTTGCAATGTTGTGACTGTTCTTATACAGCTCACTAACATAAGTAAGTATTCATTTCTAATTTTCTACATAATTGTCACAGTTAAATCCTGACCTTCATCAGTTTTTCTTTAGAGGGCACTCAGGGCAGGTACTCTTGGTTAACATCTTTCATGCCATCCTCTGGCGTCATCTAACGTCCATACTTAAAACTGCACGAGGAATGTATAGTTGTCTTTAGATGTAGCTACAATTTCATTAAATTCTCCAATACAATATTATGCTCATTTCTACTGCTTTTACTAGCATTTTAGCAAATTTTGTATCTTAATTTACAATCTTCATGTACAATGTACAAATTGCAATAAATTATATTAAAATAAAAAATGCAAGCAACATTTCATGTTTTTATGACACATTTGAATTAGGTTGTATTTTGTAAATGATAATATAAGGGATAATAAAGTTTGTTATTGTTTAACACTCCATTGGTACTTTTGTGAAATATTACATTTTTAAAAGATTAACATTTTAAAACACTGGCATATGAGCCTTATATGTAGGTTGGTGATTATTAAATATTAGAGACAATTGATAACACTTTATTGTTAATTGGTAGGGTTTAGAAAAGAGTCACAGACATAGACACGGGCTTACCACACATACAAAAACATATACAATTTATTGTTTCCAATACCACCATCTTGGGAAACAATGTAAAGTTATTATAAAGTTTATTATATTTATTAAACAAGGTAATGTAAAATTAATATCAAGAAATGACACAGAACATTAAACGAGAGAACATTAGAACAACATAAAAACAAAAGAACTTGCTGGCCAAATAAGAAATGTAGATCCAGCTCAAAACCTTTGTCTTTAAATAAAGCCCTTTTTTTTTGTTGCCATTATTAATAGATTATATTAAAGGCCCGTTCACACCAAGGGCGATAAATATAACGATAAAGTTTTAATAATCATACTCAATCTGAAAACTAAATGTTTATGTGATGCATCTCCAACAAATTTAACTTTTTTTTTTATCACATAATATCTTATTTTTACTATGAAATCTTTTTTTGAGAAATTTTGAGAAAATATGCCAATATTTATTTAATATTACCTTTATGGCACTTCCAGTCAACAATGTACCAAAAGTTTAAGCTATGAGTTTTAAGCCAGACCCTGGGCAAAAATTCAGGTTAGATTTCAAGTGCTAGACAAAAAAAGGGATGCATATTTTTAATACTAAAACAATCTTGTTCTACAGTTTCACTGCGCACATACTGCAAAACCACCGGAAGCCAGTTTAAATGCAGCGTTTTTACCTTTCACAATAACTGTCCAAAACTTTAATAAACTAAAAACAAACATATGATATAATAAGGTTACACACATCAGAAAAGTGGAAAGTGAAAAGGCATTATCACAACCATATGGATTCATCAAATCAATTCGTGTTTCAAATAATCTCACAAACCCTGTTTTTACAAAAGTCACAAAACCACTAACAGGCTTCAGATTCGTTTCACAAGGCAAAACATTCTCATCATCTTTCTGGCAAAGACACCATGATTTCAGAAATATTTCATAATTATCATATACGGGTGAATCTCATAATAACATGTCCTAGTTTTAGTCAACCCCATTTATATTTATGCATTTGGCAGATCCTTTAATCAAAATCAACTTTGAATGAAATGGAAGGAATATGTTTTATTAGTTAAATTACTGTCTCAGCTACAGGAACACCCATAAATTAAATAAATAATAATAATAAAATTAAGCCTAATTTTCTTTTGTACCCTTATCATTGTTTTTTGAAATTCATATTATTATCAAAGAATCTCACTGTATTGAAAATTATACTTTCTGGATACAATTTTATTAAATTCTCATAAATTAAAGACAATATAACAAATACTCCATTATAAATATTTTATATTGTATTGTTATATTTTATTTTTATTATATATACATGTTTTTTTGTTTTGTTCTTGGTGAAATGTGACCTAGACATGTTATTTAACATGAAATGCACCCATACATCTAGTTTGGTAGATTTTGTTCTAACCTCACTAGAATCCGACAGTCTGAATCAAAGTCTTATATCTGGCAAAATCTCAGTGCTCATGTTTTCAAACATTCTAGTGACAACATTGCTTACACAGTGGCTATAATTTCAAAATCCATTACAGATAATCACAACTATTCACAAAAATATCTTCATATAGCTAACACACTGGGAAAATGTAGTGTAATTCCAATAAGCATGCAGTGCATTTTCCCTTAGTTTCAAAAGCAACTGTTTTATAAAATCCATTAAACCGGTAATATACACACACAATCTGGCAATGCGAACAAAATGAACAAATAGTCTCAATGAATTATGTACTTTCGAGAGTCATAAGGTGAGTCAAACACCCATGTAGTGTAAAGCAGACAGTAACTCTTCATTTAGCACAATCTGCAGCTACTACTGTCTCACTAAAACTGGGTCTGCACAGAACCTGCCCCTGCAGGATCTTCAAGATCTGAGCAGATTTCCGCAGAATGCTAGTCATTCACAAAATTCTACACATCCCCCTCAAGTAATAAATATTCAGCCTAATTTGATCATGTTTTCAGCTACCAGCAGAACTATAGTACTCTTAGCACTGACAAACACATTTTAGCATTTAAATATCCATTCTGCACAATTACGCAGATCCCCCGCCCCACCCCCCACAAACAGTGCAGAAAATGCAGAAAAAAGTGCACCAACTCACTTAGTACTAATAATAACCTATAAATACTGAACTTGTTTGTATTTGCCTATAGACATGTTCTGCCCATTTGAACATTTGTAGTGTGATCATCTGGAATGGAACTGAATTATTTATGATTTTAGATGCATTAATTTTAACTTGCAAAATGCAATGCTCATTGCACCAAATATGTTCATCTGCCACATACATAGACCAACAGTCAAAAAAACAGTAAAGACACAATGCAAGTGGCCTTAAAGGAACAGTTCACCCAAAAATTAAATGGACAGTAAATGGGTGCCATCAGAATGAGAATTCAAACAGCTGATAAAAACATCACAATAATCTACATGACTCCAGTCGATCAATTAAACGTCTTATGAAGCATTATTATGGATTACTTAGTTGTATTTTGGCTAGAAACAATGGTTTAAAGTTAAAACACCTTAATCATGGATTTGTTTTTTACAAACACACAGCTTTCACTTCATAAGTTGTTAATTGATTGATTGGAGTGGTGTGGATTATTGTGAGTTTATCAGCTGTTTGGTCTCTCATTCTGACGGCACCCATTCATTGCACAGGATCCATTGGTGAGCAAGTGATGTAATGCTGAACTTCTCCAAATCTGTTCTGATGAAGAAAAACTCATCTACATCTTGGATGACCTAAGGGTGAGTACATTTTCAGTGTCGGGTCAACCATTCCTTTAAGTGTTTCTTAAAGGCTTAAAGACGACAAATGAGTTGTGTGTAGACTCATTGTGTTAATACTGTTGAATTTTGCACTTGAAGAAGGATTCAAAGCAAATCTACCACTGGACACCATTATCATGGAAACATGAAGATGTCACTGTACAATGTAATAAAAGAGGTATGTGAATGGAATCCCTCGCTGGTTGCTAGGATACCGTGATGACAATGTGCCAACCCTGTTGCTGAGTGATAGAGAGATGGAGGCTCTGTCAGCAGAATGGCTCGAGTGCTTCAGGTGAACAAACTGGAGGATGAAAAACAGAGATGTTATCAAGATGAGACATCCTTTACCTGCCCATTACCATCAAACTCACAGCTTATGAAAATAAAATTTCATCCAGTTTACTTGCTATGGGTTTATTCACACTGGACAAAAAATAAAATAAAAAAAAGGACTGAGACTACACCAAACAGGCTTTTGCTGCCAGTCTGAATTGGTAAAAAAAGATGGTTTTAATAGATGCCCAAATACACTAAGACCCTTTTTTATATGAGAAATTAGTCTAACTATCTGCATTAGGGCTCTCAAATCGATTTATCACGATTAATCGCATCCACATATGAAATATATTCATGTATGTGTGTGAATTTATATATACATATAAATATACACAGTACACACACATATACTATGTAAACACCAACTTTTATTTTGGATGCGATTAATCACGATTACAGCCCTAATCTGCAATAGTTAGTTTCATTGTTAGTCTCGTTTCCCAGCCTTCCATTAGGGTGTGTGGGGTCTCTAATCTAAATGCCGTATTTCTTTTATCAGTGATGTTTCTTACCAGCTCTCCCTGACCGCCTCAATGTCACTCAGAAGATTCTGTGCCAGACAGATCCCAAATATCTAGAAGCAGATGATAGGTTATTGTATCACGCAACTCGGAGTTAAACAACAATGCTTTATTAGGTGGCTTCCTGGACATTATTAAATCTAATCTAGGCTTAATGCCTTTCAAAACTATTTGAATGCCCTAAACAGGACATAGCTGCCTATAAATCAATAAAATAACCACACATGGCGGATCATGTTTAGGTTGTAATTTTGAAGGACAGCTTCTGAAATGAAAGAGCACACTGGAGATAAATTAAACAATGCATGAAATAGAATACTGGCATAAATCAATAGTCAAGGGTTTTGATGTATCAGAGGGCCCTATTTATTTATTTGTCAGGGAGTAAAATACAGTAAAAACAATAATATTGTGAAATATTGCATTTGAAAATAACTATATAATTATTTTTGTGCTCATGAAACATTTATTCATTATAACATTATCAATGTTGAAAGCAGCTGTGCTACTTAAAGGAACACTCCACTATTTTTGAAAATAGGCTCATTTTCCAACTCCCCTAGAGTTAAACGGTTGAGTTTTACAGTTTTCGAATCCATTCAGCCGATCTCCGGGTCTGGCGGAAAATGAGCCTATTTTCAAAAATAGTGGAGTGTTCCTTTAATATTTTTGTGGAAACTTTTTTTCAGGATCCTTTGATTAATAGAAAATTCAAAAGAACAGCATTTGAAATGGAAATCTTTTTTAACAGTATAAATGTCTTTACTGTCACTTTTAAATAATGTAATGCATTCTCTTTAAAAAAAAAAAAAAAAAAAACTAACCCAAAAAGGTGGGCTTAAACCTCTCCGTAAGTATATTAAAATTAAATAAATAATATAAACATTAATAATTGTTCTGTTTTAGAGCATAAACATAAACTTATAAACCAAATAAATCATTCATTAAAATGTGGGATAAATGTGAAATGACGTAACTGTCAAAAGGTCTTCATACTCTTGTAAGACACAGTGTTACGTTCAAGGCGATTGAATTTTGTAAATGATCTACAATCAGTTTCCCTTTTAATTTATTCATTCAATTATGACTGACTGCTGTTTATAGTGGGACATACACAACATAAAAACAAACATAAAAATGTGCACAGTGTGTGTAAATGTCAATGACTGTTGTTGTTTATTCACCTGCAGAAGTGCAATACCTATAAAGATTCCAGCAACTACGGTTAGATTCTCCTGTAACCATTTCTCAAACTGCGGTACACATCCTTTTGTGTGTATAAACATCTTCTGTTCATTGTCCTTCACACATAAAAACAAACATTAGCCAAAGAAAATTAAATGCATGCAAAATATTAAACAATTCTACTTACAAAAACATTATAGTAAGCTATTTGTACGGCTTCTGAAAACTTTGAATATAGGGCATATGGAACATATTAATAATACTTTTAAGGGGATTTTGTGTCATTTTCACTTCAGTTATATGAAAAAGAGTGACTAGGATATTCTTTAAATCCATTTTTGTTCCACAGAAAAAAGAAAGTCAAACAGTTTGTAGTGACATGAGTGTGACTAAAGGGTGATATTTTTTTTGGGGATGAATATTCTTTTGACAAAGCATACTTACACCTTTCGCTCGAATGTCATATCCACACTGTGTGTTTATCACATCCTCCTTTGAGAAGAGAAACAGGAAGAAAGCTAGGATTTAGCCTTCTGAAAAACATTCTACATTAAATCATACGCTTTGAGCATTATAAAATAGAGAACTGTTGTTTCATGTATATATGTGTGTGCTCTGTCTGCCGAATCTACATCACTTCCTGTTTATGTTCCCAGGTCTTCTGGAAGGAGACAATGGCACATTCTAGGTGGTAAGATGACTGGAAGACGTGTGTCTGTGTGTGCTGCATGCGTGTTAAGAGTGTATATGCTGTGTTTACTCACAGCAGGGTCCTTGGTGCAGCAGGAAAAGGGAACCCCACATTTCTCTCTGCTCAGATTAGTGTCAGTACAATTAAAGTAAATGTTCAGATTCCAGTCTTCAGGCCCAAAAGCTCCACAACACTCCCACTGCAGAAACATACATGCATTGAATATTCATGAGTGAACCAACCAATAGCTGAAAGCCATTACAGATTTAAACAGATTGCTACTAGCTCACAAAAATACACTTATAAATTATACATTTAAAATGTTATATTTTTATAACAATGTATTTATATATATATAAATATATATATATATACAGTATATAAATATATATAAAGAAAGCCTCCGTTACCCTACAGAGGAAACGGGCCTCTTGTAATACTTTCGCAACACCACTCTTGACATTCTCACAAAGCTCTCACAGCATCCTCTCTCATATAAAAGGAGTAACACAGACCACCAGAACCTGCGTGAGAGGAAGTTCACACACTTTCAAACCACATTCAAACCAGTCAATCCCACCGATCTACGTAGTTACTCATATCCAGCCATTCAAAAACGTGATTACCCACCTGCACTCTCTATTCACATTTGTCTACTGAGATAAGCATTTTTACATATTTATAGTATTTGCAAGGCAGGAATGTATGCATTAGGAATGAAGTATTAAACTTTTGCAATTAATTAAGCTAAAACCACTTCACACCCAAAATGATATGGCTGCGAAGACCCTCTTTTGGAACCTTTATTATTAATATGTACATTGCAAAACAGGGCACAGAAGCTGCATTATGTGTAGAATGCTTCTCATGCACAACAGACAAAGATAAGATGTGTTCCAAGTGTCATGACAATAAGTTCAAGGCACTTATGCCAAACTAAAGCCTGATAAAAGTTTGATTCTTACACGTTTTGTTCATCATGATAATCTTCACAAAAGAACACAACTTTTATGAATTTTGAAGCCTAAATACAGCATAACTGAAAAGCTAAACATATGCTATAACCCAACTACACCATGGTTGCATGACTTCAACTTCATCTTCATTAAGCCTCCAACACCTCTTTTAGCCTCTATTTAAAAAAAAGTTTTACTTGAAAGTCAAATATAGTTTGCAAGGGCGTGATCGAGGCTGTGAAAGCGGATTAGTGAATATATGAGTTTTCCTGTTCAGTGTGTTCAGTTAGCAACCGCCTTTTAGCTTCAAAACCTTTTTGTTTCGAATCACTGGTTCGAAGCGCGTATCAAACTACCAAAGTCTATAGTTTTTACCTGATCTCGAATCAGTTTTATTCATTTGTAGATGTTTTAATAAGACATTTGTATAATTAAAAGGAATAATAACAGTTAATTGTCTTTTATTGGCATGTTTAGCTGAGCCATACATTAAACAAACAAGCCCTGAAAATTTATAAAAGAACACACATTATACAGACGCTTCATATTTAGTGGTATTGATTTGATTAGTTAATTGCATTGTCCTTAACAGATTATATTATAGTTTCAATAACACATTTGCAATGAATTTGTAAAAGCTGTTTTTATGGATGTTTGGCCTGAGTTTTCAATGCATTTACACCATTTTGACCAGCAAAAGTCACCAGCTTGTGGTGTTTTGAGAGCTTCAATTTGGTTCAATTGATTTGAAGCTCTGAAAAGCATCCTTTCTCCCATCACTACTGTCATTGTCAAGACAAGAAAAAAACAGTGGGGTATTACCGGTGTTTTTATGAAAATATCTTGAGGTTGTGTTAACCACACCCCTTATTTCAGGCTTTTAACCAAAAATCCATTCAAAAAACCCACTGACTTCAGGACAATGGAACCGGAAGTACCAAATGTCAACTCGTTTCCAGGTTTTGGCCTACAAAAATCAATCATCCTGGTAGAACTCGATGTTCTTCCTGAAGTTTCAAAACTTCAGTTTTTTTCGAATGTACCCAAATGTATCATCTTGTGATATACAAACTATTTAAATCAGCAGTGAAGCCATGAACCACACTATGGACACTCATGCTTTATGTAAAATCTAGAGCATAACATATTCATGGCAGATGGCAGGTGCACAAAATATATACTATTGTTCAAAATCTCTGCTTGAACTCAATGGTAAAGACTAAATATGACATACAAACTTAAGAAGGAAGGAGTTTTCCCTCAGAGCACCGATGCATCCTGCGAAGCCGAGCACGAACATCACCCCACCCACCACGAGAAACAGCCACACTGGATCAAACCCGCCCAGGTCTGTGATGGAGGATATGTTGGAGAGAACCCCCTGATGGAAATACAAATGGGAACAAAAATGAGAATAATAACTTGATTTCTATTTAACAAGAACAAGATCTCACTTGATTAGATTCATATATGAAGTGCTTGTAAAAAGATGGGCTTCACTCACTTTCTCACTCCAGGCCCACAGAGCCACGGACAGGAACGCCACCCCGAGCAGCTAAAGAGTGTATATTTGCGTGTCAGATAGAGTTAGACATCAGATCGTCACTATAAATCATCTTTAAAAATGAAAATTTGTTAGTGGTTACATTCAAATTTGTATAGCTTTTTATGATAGCAAAAAACCACCTGTCACATGGGTTGTGCCTCAAAACCTAATAGGCTGCCTGTGCAGACAGCATGTTTGGAACAGCAGAAATCATTTTTGGCCATCATAAACATCAGTGTTGGGCAGTAACTAGTAACTAGTTACAGTAATAATATTACTTTTTGCAGTAACTAGTAGTGTAACTAATTACTAATAAGATTTCAGTAATAATATTACAGTTACCATCCATAAAACAGCTTGTTACTAGTTACTACTGATGCCTCAGCCCCTACTGATTTGAAATCCAACAATCAAATAATTCCTAAATTTATTTTCATAATTTTCACGACTCGCACAGGCACATGAAGTCACAAGTGCATCAGGAAAGCTTGGAATATGGTGTTCTGAACACAGATGTGTAAGTTGTGGAATTATGGAAGTTGTGGCATTACTTTACTCTGGCATTACACGGCTTGCCCACCCACATCCCTCTGACCCCGATATAAATTATATTACTATAATTAAAAATCTT